ATCAGTGTTCATGATTCAACAATAAGAAAGAGACTGGGCAAAAGCTGCATCCATAGGAGAGTTCCGAGGCAAAAGCCACTGCTGACCAAAAAGAACACAACGGCTCGTCTCCCATTTACCAAAAAAATATATTAATTATCCCCAAGACTTTTGGGCAAATATTCTGTGGACTGATGCGACAAAAGTTGAACTTTTTGGAAGGTGTGTGTCCCGTTACATCTGGCGTAAAACCAACACAGCATTTCATAAAAAGAACATCATACCAACAGTCAAACATGGTGGTGGTAGTGTGATGGTCTGGGGCTGCTTTGCAGCTTCAGGACCTGGACGACTTGCCATAATTGACGGAACCATGAATTCTGCGCTCTATCAGAAAATCCTGAAGGAGAATGTCCGGCCGTCAGTTTGTGACCTCAAGCTCAAGCGCACTTGGGTTATGCAGCAGGACAATGATCCCAAACACACCAGCAAGTCCACCTCTGAATGGCTCAAGAAAAACGAAATTAAGGTTTTGGAGTGGCCAAGTCAAAGTCCTGACTCTGATTGAGATGCTGTGGCATTACCTTAAACAGTCCATTCATGCTCGAAAACCCTCCAATGTGGCTGAATTAAAACAATTCTGCATGCCAGGCAGGTTTGGACAGCTTTTTCCCTTAATAAAATAAATCATTATTTCAAAACTGCATTTTGTATTTACTCGGGTTATCTTTGTGTAATATTAAAATTTGTTTGATCAGAATCATTCAAGGGTGACAAATATGTAAAAAATTACAAAAACAGCACTATATATATATGTATATATGTTACAAAACATTTTTACTTCATATAAATGGTTTTCTTCTAAACTTTAATCCCACAAAAAAAAAAAATTTAAATAAAGCATTGCCATCACTGGAATAAATTGCATTAATATATTCAGTTGCAAAACAGTTATTTTAAATTGTAATATTTCACAATATTACTATATTTACTGCATGTTGATTAAATTAATTAATAAGCATAAGAGACTTACTTCAAAAAATCTTAATTATTCCAACATTTTGACTCCCAGTGTATAGTTGTTTATGAGATCATTGAGAGCAATTATTGTACAACTGATTTCAGTGAATCAAACTGAATGAATTTAATTATATCTCCTTTTACCCTTTTGAAAAACATAAATTAATGCAATTTAATATGCATCAGTTTCAAACATCCCTCCCACAGTCTTCGTATATAGGAGAGACAATGACACCTCATTTGTGTTGGGAAGCAATGTTGCAGTGATCTGTCAGTTTATATGTATATAAAAGAGCTTTGTTTTTCATGTTACTCTGATAATTGCAGAGTAACATGAAAAAATGCTGTAAAATGCTGTCTAAACTGACAGATGATCTGACAGATAAATTGGCAATATAGCCCTCTGACTACTAAATCCAGCCTCCCTTATTTGTTTACAAGGACCTATAAAAAGAGGATTTCACCCTCAGACTCAGGTGAAGACAGATAAAGGAAAGGCCCATAGGTAGCAAAATAGTATTCACCCAATGTGGTTCATACAAAATAACTAATCAAGCAATAAATATAAGCATCACATGCACGATGTAAAAGCAGGGCTGAACTCACCCTGAAGATGTCCTCGACCATCTCCAAACTAGAAAGTGTGTCAGTATGCATCCCAACTTCAAGCCTGTAGATGAGATGTAGGGCAAAGGCATGACAAAATGACTCTCAAGGGTAAATCTGACCAAAAAACTTAAGAGTTGGAACATGCCCTGACATGAACAACATGGCCAAGACCACTAGGAAAGCATCACACCACCAGAGGGAGACAGAAACGTGATAAGTGATGTGGAGATGTGTGGCGGGGGGGACAGGGGGTCTTGAACATAGATGGGTCAAATGTAATATTAAGCTCCTCAGCCAACTCAAAAAGTCTATATCCATATTTGCTTGGTATAGTGAAAAGTGTTTACAGTTTTGTCACGGAATAGTCGTGGAATTCATTATTGGAAGTTTATTGAGCAAATTGAAACTTTCAGTTTTTGTAATTTCTTGTACACAATGTGTACTCCAAATGCAGAGTGGTTTTAGTGGGGAAAAAATGTAAACATTCAACCAAATGTTTCTGTTAAATATTACAGTAATGTAATTACAAGTAGGTACGCACATTGTCTGTAATTGGTCAGGTATATGAGTCTGAACAGTGGTGGAAACGACCAAAATGCACAATTCACGTGTGAAGTGTGTGTGTGTGTGTGTGTGTGTGTGTGTGTGTGTGTAAATTGCACATATTTCTGGATTCTTCTGTAATCTAACATCATTTCCCTTGTAATATCCATTTCTTTTTCATATGTGCTCCATTTGTCTTCTCCATACATTTTATCCACGTATTTCTCCTTTCTCCTCCCCATCCACTCCTTTTTCTTGCAATCCCTTTACACTTTTCTACTCTTTGACTGTGACTTAGTGTTAGTGTTCATTAGTGTTAATTTTTACATACATTACAAACTAATGAGCAAACAAGGAATAATAGAATTTTTATACATTTTCAAAGAATAAGTGCCGTGAAATAATGTTCTTAGCTCACTGTTAATGCAGTAACTAAGGTTAACAAATAAAACATTACAAGTGTTTTTTTAGCCTTTCTCCCTCACTGCTTCACGTTTCTGTCTGAATCTGATTCTCTGTGGCTTTGATGGTGGTAGTATAAGAAATCAATTTGAAATCTGTGTATCACGTCATGGTAAACAGACAATCACTTCAAGGTTAGGCCTGTCTTGTTCCATTGCATTTCTTAAACATGTAAGCAGTCGACAGCACTAAAAGAAGGTTCACATCTGCAACTACTATTGGTACTCTCAGTGCTACTTGAAATGCTACATTCAGTATAGGGAACATGTCAGTATTTAGCAGCTTGACTATGTCATGAATTACTTCCTTCTCCTTCCTTCTTTTCAAGAGATCTTTGTCACCATGAGCTTCTCTGCCTGCAACTCCATTTAATACCGCAACAGAAATCATAGAAGAATCCTGAGATATTCATCATCAGGAAAGGTGTCTGTTGCTAGATGGCAGGCTTGAGTGCCCTTAATAATATCTGCTCTTACTCCTTAGAAATGATTGTCCATCTCTTGCATCATTCAGTCAAACAAGAGCAGTAAGCCTATAGGCTATACATCTGAGGTCATCTGAGGAACTAATTTCTGAGGCTGTCCTACAATGTAGAACAGAAACACAAGAAATGCAAGAGGCTAGATAATTGTGTGGAGGAGACAGCATTTAGGACCTACATTCCTCTCCACCACATAATCATCCAGCTTCTTCTGTTTCCATCTTAAACCTACAGAAGGTTCTGGACTGTTATTCGCCTCACACAAGGCTCTGCAGCTCTCTGTTGTTGAGCTGTAGCCTGTTGTTTTGTGCTGAACTGCTTGTCCCAGGTCTGCAATATCGCTCTGCAGGTAATTATGGAGGCCTTCAGTGATGGAAAGAAGTTTACAAAACATCAGCAGCATGTAGACAGTGTTAAACTTGAGTCTGGACCAGAGGCCTACATCCACTGGTGTTGAAATTTTGTCAAGACACTGCAGAATAGCATAGAAGCTGTCAGTTACAGCAATGACTTCACCTGACATACTCAACATGTTGTTGACAGCTGCACCAGCTAAGCTGATAGTAGTCCAAGATTATTTTGAACATAACCTTTGGTGATTAACTAGATATGAAAAATGAATAAATACTCACCAGTAAATATATATATTTAAAAATATATATATTGACTTCAGTTATTGCCTAATTTTCCTTAAATTTGCCCGTAGGTTTGACATGTGCCTGTCCCATGCCTCATCTGCCATCACAGCATGCATACCTAAAATTATTCCTTTTATGTTTTTGTGACATCTTCTGAAATGCATGCAATAATTTAATTTTGCTCTTGAGTGAGACGGGTAGCATAGGATGGTGCAGCGTACAGCTAACTCTGTGATAAGCTCTTTCAGCATGTCATGAACGCCTTATAAATGCTACTTTGTTCATGCTCTCTGAATAATTCTCAAGCCCTCTTCCAGTAGGAGCAACCTGCACTGTATTATCATGTATGTCTCTCATCTTACCAAATCTGTTCAAAGACTGAAGACCAATATTGATCTGAACAAGCATCTATAAACCTAAATAAATATTTAAAATTGTGTTTGCTTTTTTTAGTTTGATGAACAACTAATATCCTCATAATGCATCCGAAAACGGAAAGGCTGTATTTTAAACGTATAATTTCATTTAAAATCTAATATGTGAAGGACAGAGCCAAAATAACCAAAAAAATTGCATGCAATTAAATTCTCAATAAACATTTACAACAACAAAAAACGTCTACAAAAATACCACTACACTGACTAGATTCATGAGAGGTCAGTTAATGCGTTAAAATGTGAAAAAGGCCGTCGTTTCTTTAATTAATTACTACACTAAAAAATTCTCGAATCAGTTGTTTGATGATTTAAATGTGCCTTATTATTGCCTTCCGTAAACTGCCTGCGGAGGCAGCATTTTTCAGCTTTAGAACGCAGCGGTGTTTGGAAATAACGTTACTTCCGCATTATCCGATTCCAGTGGAAATCTATTGGACTGTCGCAACTCTGTGTTTTAACGGCTTGGGCTGGTGCTCTTTCTGTCAAGGTGTGTATGATCTAATAGTACAGACTTATTACAGAGACTTTTACCTGTGTGTGTGGCATCCAGTCCGTGTTCACAAAATGCAACAGATTAAATTATTTTAAATTCATGCATTCCCGCAAGTGAACTGTTATTCCCTCATTGTTCTTTCTCAAGTTCGCAGTCCATACTGATACAGAATTACAAAATGAGTTGTTTTGTTTTGTGCATGTCATATTGTTGAAAAGTAGGCTACAACTAGGCTAGTTCTCTGTAGAACTGATATCACTAACAACTTTATATATATATATATATATATATATATATATAAGTGACATATGTGCCATAAAGATCATGTTACAAACAAACTTTGCACTTTGAACTGTCTTGCTGTTGGCTGCTCACTGCATTTTGAATAATCACAACATGTTATGTTGCAAATGCAATGCTAATAATTTGGTCAGAGAGTTACAACATGCCAAGATAAAGATATCAGCACTGAAGAAAGCAGAAGCACATTATACGCAAGTAATCTACAGTTTAAGGGTTAAAATAGCCTATAACTTTTGAAAGGATGTTTATTAATGTGAGATTTGCATTATTTGAGGGGTCTGTAGTGTTCAGCAAGTTTCAAGAATATATTTTTTCCTTTTTCTTTGCTATAATTTAGTAGCTCTAATGTGACACTGGTAGGTAGTGGTACTAGACTTTATGAGGATGTTCTTTATAAGTACATTTAAAAAAATACAATAAAATCTTACAAAAATCACGACAATATTTTCAGAGCTGACTGGGTCAGATCAATCTGCAAATAGGAAGTCTTGACCAAATGGAAAAGTACCAAAACTCTGTCATGATGATTTGGTGGCGAATTTGTATGAACTCCTCTTACAATATCCTGAGGGTTAGTTTGGACCCAATGGTGATGTTGTACATAAAAATTGAGTTAGCCTGGGGGGAAATTTTATTCAAATTATAATTTGTCATTTTTTTCAAATAATCATTTTGTAAGTCACAATTTAGAGAATGTCAAAAGTAATAGAGGGAGTGAAAATGGCAGTTATCCATTGAGGTAACAAAAATCATTTTTGCTTTTATTATTAGCTTTATTTTTTTTATTATTATTTCTTTTTTTTGCATTTGCATTTGCATTGGTAAAAACCTAAAGTGTTGTCCTGAGATTTTTGGTTCCACTCAGCTGGACATCGTGAATATTCTTGAGTCGCTCACCTTGTGGGTGTAAACTTGAAATGACACAAATAAATGGAACTGAAAATATTACGGCATGTTCTCCAAATCCCAACTTGTTTAATAGGTTATTTAAAAAAGTATCAATTGTATGGACTGTCTGTTTCTTAACTTCATTGACTATACAGTATTGCACAGTGTTGGCAACATATAATAATAATAACATCCAATTTTAAGTTATCCAATTATTTTGTCACTTACAGGCAAGATGACACCATTTTCTAAAAACACGCTTTCTGGCTCGCTCTGGATAACAGTTGTAATCTGTTTTGGTTCTCTCTGTGATGGTGGCAAAATCTTGGTGGTACCTTTGGAGGGAAGTCACTGGGTGAACATGGAAGTCCTTATCAAGGCTTTACATGGTCAAGGGCACAGCGTTGACGTAATACGCACATACAACAGCTGGTTCGTAAAGGAGAACTCAACTTATTACAGCTCTATAACCATACCTAACACCAAAGGAATGGATGAAGAATTTGTAGAAGACATGCTCAACAAAGTAATAGACTATGAAAGAGGAAAGAACAATTGGCTAAGCGCTGTATGGCTGCATTTGGATGTGATTCATGTCATTTATAAAACCCATGAAATGATATGTCAGCTTATAATAAACATATTTGAAAGTGAGGAAATGCTGACAACACTGAAAGAAAAACAGTACGATCTGGTGCTCACTGATCCGGTGTGGGGTGCAGGAATTCTTCTGGCTCATAAACTCAAGTTACCCATGGTATATAATCTGAGATGGAGTGCTACTGGAGAAGGACACTTTGACATCACTCCTTCACCACTGTCCTACA